GTTTCTGTCAAGTCATCTAAACTGGTCGCACACCAGTTCACATCCCAGCAGCATGCACCTCGGACCCCAGCCACGCTCGTTACCACTATTCCCATTAGACTCAGCGGATGAGCCAACAACAGCCATATGTTCTTCAAACGTACGTGCAGCCTCGCAGCTGCCTCTCGCTCCCGTTCCAGACTGGAGCCTACACTGCTGCACCACGTACGCGCTGGAAATCGCGGCTGAAGGGCGACAGCGGCTCTGAAACAAAGACCCAGCAGCCTTTTGGAAGGTGGTCAGATACAGCACTCGTACACATCATCTCCAACAGGTCCGAAGGTACAGGAAGACACGAGTCCAACTCCTGGGGATGCTGGCTTCTACAGACCATTACCTTAGAGATTAATATCCCTGCTCATACTCAACCAACCACAGATCCCAAGTGGTTCCCTCCTGCTCTGGAAAGTTACATCTACTCGCTCCAATTTTATTACTGCTACTAGTTGTTGGGGTTGGGAGGGGGCTTCTTTTTTCTATTTCCTACATCCAAAAAGGTTCACTACTTATTATAAACCTAGATGATTAAAAAAAAAAAGTTTTATTTTTTCCAAGAGCAGCTTAGTTTTTATCATTTTTACAGCTGCTTATTCGCAGCATCCAAGGGATGATTCCTGTCACACTGAAGAACAACTGTGCCAGATTCTTCAGGCTTCAAGTATTCCAGCAAGTGTGACTTTAAAATAGCAGAAAATGTGATTTTTCTGTAACGACCAAGTCTCCAGAGAGTTAGAGAGTTCATGTCCTTAAATTGTGTAAAGATCTATGGCTTTTGAAATGTTGAAACCTAGCTGGTTTTGAAACTCCCCATTGGATCCCACTGAATAATGACAAGCTTGCATTCTCATGGGCAGAAAACGCTTTGAAAATCCAACCCAAGTGATAAATATGATTACTTAACTGTAAAGAACACAGCAGTCTTAAAATTCACATTTATACTTCAAGTGCCCCCACCCTCTTCACTATTTCTGTATGAACTCAGCACATAAACCTACTTAGGTACTTTTAACAGAATCAGTTTTCATTCAAACACAAATAACACTCCCGCTTTAAATGACAATCCTCCCCCCACTCCCCCAATCTGTAATAGAATTACAAATTGAACTTTGGGAGAAAAACTATGTTAATCTATACAGCTGCTTAAATATACATTAGTGACACTTTAGCATATAGGTAAAATGACACAGGTAAAGCATTAATCATTCCAAACCCAAACTAACCTTCCTTGTCACTCCACACCAAGTCTTGGTTTTAAACCATCAAAAACCTGTGACATAAATAGCAACCAAGTCACTTTCATATGTTCTTGCTGGACAGCAAACACCATTTCTAAAATTATCCTTGCTAGAAAGGACTGCTGAGGTTGTAATGACTAGGGCATCCTCCACATCCAACTGACCCTCAGTCGTTTTGGCGTGGGCTGCTTTTAGCCTCCAGCAGCGCCCAGAGGCACACACCACGCATCTGTCAGTCAGCATTGATACTCAAAGCACAGTTTGGTACAAGAACCTCTCTCTCATCTCTGTTGCTCCCAGCAGAATTCTCAGTCCTTTCCAGATTTCAGCATACTCAGGTACATCTTGGAGCATATTTATGTATTCTTCTAGAAGACTTCAAGAGTTTGCTACACCTTTCAGCTGCCAAACTATGGAAAAAAGTGCTTTATTTCTATGGCAGATCTAAGACACTGTACATCCTCCCTCATCATTTGAAACACAGTCTTTTCTTAAACCATAACTACACCTTGCATGATTAGCCAAGATTCAGGAAGAAGGACCAGAAAATAAGTTATTTCTCTCTATGTCGTGTTGTTAAAGATGACAAATTCAGGACTGACAATCACCCAATATAACAATTTTGTTTTCTAAATACAAGCCTTTGGGAAGTGGAATGATAAAAATGAACCACCAAGATGTTACAATTAGCAGAGAGGCAAAACACATACATACCTTTTATTCTGAGTGGACAGAATTGCCTAAGATGTGTTACCATCTCACATAATGAAAGTCAGCAGAAAGATACCAAAAGGTCAGTTAGGAAAACAAAAAACACAGGGTAAATGAAATGACCTGTAAGCAAATTCTAGTGAACAAGCCACAAAGACTGGACGCCACTGACTTTCAACACTCAAACTGAGCCAGTAAGTTCCCAAGACTTAGTCCTTGATCACATAATATACCTGCAACACTTGGTGACAAGATCTGCAAATGGTCACACAGAAAATCTGCTTGAAATTAAGAAATTTTCAAATGGTGGTGCTCAGCAGAACCTGATTGCAACAGGGAAAGCTAGCACAAATGCGTTGGTTTCAAGTTTTATTTTTCATGTTGGTGAAACACATAGCCTCTTCTCAAGAAGCAGCATCTGTAGAGCTGTTACAAACACATTTTGTACTCTAATACACCACAGATTTGGAAAAAGAACAAATAAAGCACAGGTTTCACACTGCACTTGGGCATACTGAGTCTTAAGTTACAGATAATTTAGAAATCTTCTGATTTTACATATACATTGCATTGGCCATCGCTCAGCCTTCATGCACAATTTATTTTTCTTACAGTCAACACTGGTTTCGGAAACTTTCTTGCTGTAAATGGTATCTTTTCCACTTTAAATCACGTAAATGATATTTACATAAGTGTGCAAATTGCTTTTAAAGATAGAAACAAACACTAACACATAATATACAGACAGTGTCTTCTATAGCTAAACATTTACTAAAAGGCAGTTAACATTCCTACCACACTTTCATTGCCTAAAATGGGAGAATAAGTTATATAAAATAGACCATCTTATTTTCAGACACTTCCATTTCTGCAGATTTGGTCTTTGCAGCAACATTGCAATCAAAGATTAAGATTCTATTCCTAAGATTCAGAGAAGCCGCTTTCAATTCGATGGCAGCTTAACATGTTTAGTACAACTTACTTTTGTCCCAGATTTTCCACACTTGGCACAAGGAAAAGAGAAAAAAGCTGGGGGAGTGGGAAGAGAGTCTTGCATTTATTTTTTTTTTTTTGGCAATACGAAAGAATGCTTTAAGAAACTAATGAATACATTTTAATTTTTCTTTTAAGGGCCTGTTAGTGTTACAAGCACAGTTTAAATAAAAAGTCTGCAAGTTCTTTCACAGAAGCGTACAGGGCTCCCAATTTTCCTTCTCATGCATATCATCATCTCTGATATATACAGTTGTTTATACACACAAGAAAAGTAGACTCCTTGGGACCACTCAACAAAACTGACTGATTTCAGAATTGGAAGCAGCAGGAAAAGCTTGTTGAAAATTACTTAGTGTTCCCAAGTGCCCCTACATGTGCTGTTTTTTTTTTCTTCCTACTTGTGATAAAGACTCCCCATAAAAAGTGCATGGTCACCTTCACGAACAAATCCAGAAGGCAGAAGTTGACTAAACTGCAATGAGTTGCTCCGATAGTGAAAAAAGAAGAGTTACAGGAAAGTCTTCAAAATCATCTTTCATGTAAACTTGTAATCAGAAAAAAGCAACTGAATTCCCAAAATTTCATTTAGACTACTTTACAGATGAGCAAAAACTTTTATATACATCATTAATAACAAAGGAAAATTACCTGTCATACTGTAAAGAACTACAGGTGTAGTCTCAAATAACTTTAAAATCCAAGCTGATTATTACATAATACAAAGAGACAAAACTGCTTTTGGAACTGCCATTAAATTAAATAATGTGACTTTTACAGCAGCTCTGTCTGCAAATCATGCTGTAGCTTGTGCATCCATCACAATGCTATTGAGTACTATCAACCCCAAGAAAAGTGAATATTAACCCTCTAAATGTTTACCTTCATCACAATTATGTCTGACATGCTAATGTCAGTCGTCACATATACATCAGACATATGCTTGGTATTTTTTAAGACATCCAGTTCCTTAATATGGCAGAAACCGTACCAACACTTAACACTGTACTTTTGGTCTATTTATTGAACTTTGGGCATCACGTATCAGACACAAATCCCTGCTGGATTCCAAGTGATCTCACCCTAGCGCAGATCTTGATTAGGTTCTGCTGAAGAAACAGACCACAGGTACAACTTCCAGTGCTGTCAATGTTTAAGCATAAAATGGCCAAACAAATTTAAGACACTACAGAAGCTTGCAAAACACATGATGACTTGAAACCAGATAAAACCAGAGAAGATGCATTAAAATTTGGTTACTTTGGATTCTCAGCTAGTTTGAAAAATGCCATTTGTAAGAGATCTATGCTTTGTTCTATGCTTTGAAAATATGAAAGAATGAAATGTCTTCATAGATGAGTGTATTGATTAGCGAATAAACACCTAGAACACTCACACACACTCACAAACATTCCACCTAAGTTTTTGTTAAACACTGTCTTCGGAGCTTTATATTCAATGCACATCATCTGCTACTTTCAGTTTCTTTTTTGGTTATGGCATGCTTCAGAAACACCACTAAAAAAGGTTGTCCACTCCTTCCATTCCCAAGGTGTACATTACAAACACAATGCACACATTTATTTCCAAAGATTTCCGTTCAATAAAGTTCTTAGGATGAAAGATGTGCATGTACTTTTAACCTTTCAAGACAGCTTCAAACTAGTTGACTTCGTATTTTCCACACCCACATGGATACTACTTGCAAAGAGCGAGGTATTAAAATAATATTCCACAGTGGAGTAAAAACATGTTGAATATAAACTGAATGCTCCCCCTAGTGTTTATACTAGTGAAAAGTCCTGCCTGGCACAGTCTGCCTTAAATGCTGTTAAATAGGAGATAAATATCCAGATGAATGTGTATTTAACTCAGAGAACACTCACAAACATATTACTGGGACCAAAAAGTGTCAGCCATTGAAATCCAGCATTTAAAACTTTGTACCACTCTCCCTACTCCAGTGCTTCTGGGGTTTTGGCTTCTTTTAAACTGTGCTTTTAGTAAAAAATTATCTCATTTTTTTTCCCCGTCAACTAAAGGCAGGGCCCTGAGGAAGCTCCTACCAGGTAAGAAACTAAGTCCAAAGATGTTTCAAGATGATAGGTACAATCATGCTTTTTCTCTTGTATTGTACCCAGAAGCTGCCAAGTTACTATTAGCATTCCCATATCACAATTGCAATGAAGCTCTGGTAAATCTGGTACCTTTGGATATGCTCAACATCACAAATAAATCAGATATTTAAGACAACCTATGTCTGCAGCTAGCACAGTCCACCAGAATATTCATCCTCTTCCTCATCAGCATGAGAGCCCACTGCGGCTGGTCCTCTTGCTTTGTCTTGTGCAGCGTTTGGCGATTTCTTCTTGATTCCACCTCCTGGGACCACCAAGGTAAGACCAAGCTTGGCATACTGACAATAACAAGGCAAGTTTAATTTCTGTACTATCACAGAAGTAAAATCTTGAATTACACTGCACAGAATTGACTGACACTCACAATAAACAAGCAGATAAAATTCAGTACAGAAAACAGACTGACGCTGCTTTCAAAGTGTATTTTTCCAGGTTAGAAAAAATGAGCCAATGTTAGGCTTACTATATCTCAAATACACTGAGAATGGGATGTGAGATCTGTAGTGATACTGCTTATTATAGAATAACTTGGCCACATCCTACAGCTTCTGTGGTTCAAGCTTTAAGTAAAAAAAAAAATAATAATTTTTCAGTATGCAGCCCTGCATACATTATCCAGTAACAGTTCACGTAAAACATCTTACAAGTGTTTTTCAGTAAGACTAGTACCTTAATTTTTACTATTCAACATAGTAACAAAGTAAAATTACTTTGTTACTGTTACAAATACTGTTACAAAGTTTGGCATGGAAGGATATCTCTTTTACTTCACACCTTTCCTATCCTTACACTTCCTACAATTTGCACTTACAATTTTAAAAAAAAAAAAAAAGAAAAAAAAAAAAGAAGAGGGTGGTGGGGATGACACACAACTACTTTCTTAAAATAAAATAAAATAAAAAATCTTTCACTAATTAGTACCTTGCTAAGGAATAAGCACTGAAAAAAACATTCAACGATACCATCCTGTAGGCATCATGTTCTGTAATGTTTATGCACGCATACCAGCTATATGGTATTTCTGAGCTAAACCATAAGCAGCAAACTGTTCTGGCCCTTAAGGAACCAAGCAGAAGGGAACTGAATTTTGGTCAACTCATCAAACTCACTCAGCAAATCCGTATCAACTGCCCTTTCACCCAAGCCTTCCCACCTTCTGAAAGGAACAACGATGTGGGAATTCACATTGGCAGGCAGCAAAGTAAATGTTCACAGGCTCAGCACAGGATGACAGAGCAAGTCACAATAAATGCATGGACCCTGCTCTTCTTATTTTCCTCTACTAGAAAAAAGTCTCTCTCAATCTGAACAAACAAAACGATTATAAAAAAAAAAAATCCATAGGAACTGTCTACTTACATCATTGTCCATGTATTTGAAGAGTGGCAAATTACAGACTTCAGAAACTTGATCCTGATCTTGCTGGTCATACCCTTCTAAAAGTTGCTCTAGTGCTGCACAGTCTTCACTTCCATTAAATCCTGGTATACTGAAGGAAATTAAGAGTTCATTTAGGGCATTTCAGCAATCTACTTGACACTCAGCTATTTCATCTTTAAATGCTGCTGATTAATAGCAGAAGAGCAAGCAGCTTTTAAGAATCTGATGGACTGCTTATTCCACAATATTCTCTATAACCATTTTGATTTCTCCAGGTACATGGATCATATCCATAAAGTTAAACTTTCAGCAATATTAATTTGCATGCTGAGAATAAGACCATAATTAGTCAAGAAAAAAAGGGAATATTGCGATTTTTCAATTTTTCCTGACTAGTTAATAAACTCTTCCTCTACTTTACATACAGAAAAATTCTGTAATGAGTTTCTATATAAAAACACAAATTGAAGACTTGGAAAATATGAGCAAGATGTTTGAAGACTGATCTTGAAAAATTCTGTCTAAAAATAAAGTACAATTTAACTTGCACATATGTTCAAGTCATTTCACTAAAAACACAGTTTGAAGTAAGAATATGTTGTTTCAGTATTTTGTTACTGAAGTCCTAATGAGAACTGAAATGGAGAGTTGCTGGGAAAGTCTCTGGAACCAGGGTTAAACACTAATCCGGATTTGACACTAGAACCTTCTCCTGGTTGTGTAAAGAATGCCTTCTTCATTTCAATGTGTTCAACTGGACTACTTTGTGCTTCCTAAATTACTTTTCAGTTCAATCAATTATTTAAAAAAGTCATAAAAAGTAGAAATCTTGCTTTTCTTCTTCCAATGTATGACAAGGGCAAGATCTCCTAGATCAACATAACCAGAAACGCAGTAAGGCACATGTTGCAAACTTTTCTTTAACAAAAACCATTTAGATTAATCTTTCCCTCAATCTAATCACCATACTAGTTAAATTGATGATTATACTCGGATGCTGCTATTGCACATTTTGAGACTGGAGTCTGTATTTCCATCCTCAAACTGTAATAAAATATGGTAATGACAAGTTAGAATTTCAACTTTTTGAGGGCTTCCACACAATATGGCAAAAAGATTCTGAAAAAATTAAAATTCAGTTAGCAACATCCAGAAATACCCACTTTTAATCCTAAACATTTGTTTACAATAGCTAATCCATCTCTGTTCCATTTGAAAAAAAAAAAAAGACACAACCCAAAGGATATCAGTAAGGCAAGAATCCTAGCCATTAACAGTATTCTGCTCAGCTTTTAACAAGGAAAAAAAATATTGGGAAGAACTTCTAATTTACATCTCATTTCACCTGTCACACATAACTACTTCTTTATGACAAACTTTTTATTTTAGGTTAAGAAGAATCATCATGGTAATTACAGCTAAATCTGTTAAGAGTGAAAAAAATTCCTGATAGTCATACACCAGGAAATGCTACTTCAACAGCAGTACAGGCTTGAAATTTCTTGACAGACACTGTTTCCATTGCTCTTTCATAAGAATAGATCTGCATTAATGAAAAATTCAGTTTAAAATTATAGAACACGAAGTCGACTTACCTATAGCTTTCCCTCACACATCTTTCTGCGGCAACATAATCATTTCTGTGAAGATGAACTAAGACTTGAGCAATAGTTTTCTAAACAAAAAACAAACAAAAAAATCCCAACCTGATGATTCTTTAGAAATTAACAGTAAAATATCAGAAAAACACTGGACTGCCAATATTTAGCATGAAAAAGGTCATTACAATCTGCAATGATTTTAAGATACTGACACAAGAGAGTCAGAGCAACATAGTGAAAAAGTAGTAAGCCATATCCTCAGCTGGAATGAAATAGATTACCTCCTCTAACATTGTAATAAACTGTTCCATCAAGTAACAGTTTTTGTGGTTTGTTATCTTTGATAACATCTTTATTTTTGATGTGTTTGTTGTTTTTGACAGCTCCTGTAAATAACAGGATCTTCAACATTACAGTAGTGAAAAAAGCACAGTTAGAGACTGGGGAAACGTACTACCACAAACTCTCACCACTTAGCAAGAAATGTATCCCTGAATCAGGAGGTTCATATTGTCAGTCAGGTGTGAGCTGTCTTTAGTTACCCAGAAAACTTGAAATGCATATTAGAAATTCTCACTTAAAATTTACCTTATAGCATGTTGGGTAATTTTCTATTTCCTTATAAATACTTTTTTCCTTTTGAAGAGACAATGCAGCCTCGTCTAATCTAAAAAAAAAAAAAAAAAAAAAAAAAACCACCCAAAAAACAGTTAGGAGCATCAGTGCCAGGAACACAGCATAATGAATCTGATACTAATTACAAAATGTTTACCTAATACACCAGCAAGTCTCCTGGAATAAAAAGCAACACAACTAAAATTCAGCAGTAGATCTTACTAACAGAGTAGATAAAGAAATATATAGTCAGCAATTCCTTTTGTTTATATGCAGGCCAAGAACATCTCTGGTATTCATTCACAGAAACCTCATTTTTCATAACATTATACAAGATGAAGGCCTTGTTAAATACCCTACCAGATTTCTGTATGCCATGAGGTCACTATAAGCTACCAGTAAGTCTGATATCCATGAACTATCAATATTAAGTCACAGCAACTGGGTTTGGTTTTGAATACTCTTTTAAACATCAGATTAAACTTCTAGAAATTAGCAATAGCACGTGAGGTATAAAGCAGCAGAGGAACCAAGTCTTTCAGATGTTCTGAAGCTATGTTGACTTGCTTTCACAGCAAGACTTTGCAGTTACTTTGTAAATTTCTTTTTCTCACTACAATTCCACAGTGAAAGTGTCCTAAAAGTAGAGTTAGAAACCCAGACAATTTCTTAAAGCAACTACATGTTTCAGTGAAACAAGTCTAAGCTGAACTGCCGGTCACGTTTGGTGCTAGCAATTAACAATTAAAATAAACTGAGACTCCAAGATACTCTCTTCTTTAAGAAGTCCAGAATCAGACTGCTGCAAACAGATTTCTTTCCTCAGGTTAGTTACCTAATTCCCCTGTTTTATATTCCACAGCTATAAAAGACTTTCAAGTACTTTCCACATATTAGTGCTGGAAGAAAAAAAAAATTCCTGAAGTAGTTTTAAGAATTAATGAAAACTGGTATACGTGCTTTCCAGCTATTCAACAACCACAAAGGAAACAAAGTTTTACAGCCCACATTCGTCCATCCCAGAACACAAACCAGGTGCTTTCTGGATGAACTGAATTTTGGTTCGAAGTGTGTCTCAAAGAAGAATTAAGTAACAGTATGTAAACCCAACAACGGCAAGAAAAAAAAAAACCAGCAATGAAAATCACTATTAAAGATTCAATTACATTTAAAAAAAGGCATAAAGCTATACCTGCGTCCTCTGACTAAAAGTCTTGATGCCTTCCCTAGCATTTCTAATGCTTGCCGTAAACGTTCTTCATTCTAGAGAAAAACAAAAGAATTCATGCATTTGTATTTCATTTGCATAGAATTAAGACCACTAGACCTTAATCTAAGTATGTCATCTGTAACTTAGAACAACTGTTAATTATTATATCAGCAGTTCACATACTCAAGGAAAACCTGAAGAGTACTGGTGCACCCAAGTCCCACAGCCAGCTCCCATATGGATCTACAGAGCAAAGTAACATCAATGCAAACTTGCTAATCTGGACACACGTGACAACTGATCATAGAGAAGTATGCCAAAGGCAGCAGCAAAAAGGCAAATCATCTGCTCATAGGATGGGTAGAGCATCAAACAAACTGATCTCTTCTGTGCCTTCAAGGATTTCAAACTATTTTAGGCTCTAGGACTCAACAACACCCACGTTCTCTACCCTCTGGGCTGCCCAACAAGAGGCAGAAAACTTGACAACATACAAAATTCAGATTCATTCAAGTCCCAAACTGAGAAAAAGGCACAGCAAACTGACTCCTAACTTTTACGATCTGCTTCTCTACAGCATAAGAAGCCTTCAGCTTCAACATTCAGCCACTGATGTGAAAGGAAGGAAAAATAATATAGAACCTGATCTTAGGCTTTTTCTTAACTTTATAGCTGACCCTAAACACCAATTCATTCATCTCCACATACTTTCTGGGACTAGAAAGTTTTTTGCTGGTGGAAAAAAACCCCCCACAAAATAACAACCACCCCCAAAACCCCCACTTACTTCAAACACTGACGCTGCTTGCTGATAGAGCTGCACAGCCTTCTCTGGGCTCACGTTTTCTATTAACCTGTAATAAACATAAATCATTTCTCTTTGGATGAAATGAAAATATTTTTTACCTGAAAGCATCAAAAAGACAAGAAAGAAAACCAAAGACATACCTATGCCCTGCATGCATTCTAGCCACCAACACCACAGACTTACTTTCCAGCCCGTTCCAGTGCAATAGCTGCTGTATCTGGTGTCCCATTCTCCAGGTACATCATACTGGCTTTCTCGATCAGCTGAACTGCTTCAGGGAGTCTCTGCATCTCCTGCAAAGCGACAGTCGGAGAGATGCTGCTGTCAGGAATTGTGCTTATGTACAATGAAACAAATCAAAGCAAACTGTAATACCTTATTTAAGATTCTAATTTTTATTTACAAACTTGTAGAGCTTGTGAAAGTTGACCACCAACTCCATAAAATTCACTTGTAAGTACCAAACTTTCATGCAAGGCATGAATTTGTGGTAGTTTAGAGCAGAAGCAGCACCACTCTTCTGATACCCTCTGATATGAGGCCCTCACCTTTCCTTCTACAAAATGAAAACCATTTTTCTTCCCCAATTACAAATGTCGTTTCCCTAACCTACTGAGGGTATTGGTGGGGACTATGAGTCAACCGAAAAATATCACTTTAATATGCAACTCGCTTACATATATTTGTAAAACGCTCCAGTGCACAATATTCTTCACTATAAAATACAACTTTTTAATAGAAACTGGTAAATGAAAATACCTTTAGCATCATGCCAGCTTGTTCATAAGCTCTGCAGAGAAAAAATTTACAATTTAGTTAGATATGGTGTATTTCAGCAAGCTGTAGTTATGCAGCAGAAGTTAACATGCATCAGCTATTGCTTCACTGTTAATATCTACTGCTTTGAAGATATTTCAAGTGTTTTCTTTAATGAGACAGTGCTTGTGTAACATTATCTTTCACAAATTAAGTACTTCAACCACATTGCCCACTAAAAGTTTATTCTCATGATCTGACCCACAGGCAATATTTGGATTATTTGTCATTATCTGCTTGCTTTGAAGTACTCTTTAATTAAAAAATTTCTTTATAAGCTCAACAGTGTACAATTTCAAAATTACAAAAAGTTCATCTAAGAAAAAACGTTTGATAGCAAAAGGTGCTGAAGAATGTCAAAATCATAATTTTTTCAGATGGCCATTGCAAGTTTTCAGACTTTCCTAGCCTGCACTTCCATTAAACTGATTTTGAACAGCGAAATCACTTGAACCATACCATTTACTACAGCAAGCTCAAAATGATAGTTCGTGTTTGTACCACGTGTTAGAAAATTTGTTTCAGATTACTCAATGCTTCTGTACTTACTTGGCAGCATGGAAGAGACTGGAATTAACATTGTCAAAGTCAAGGACAAAAGCCAGAAAAATATAATGCAGAAAAATTATTAGTGTACAAAATCCTACACAAGTACCAGTTTCAAAGCAAGGAATCCCCATAAAGGCAAATCAAACCTACTACATTTGTAGGGAAGGTGTCAAAAATAAATGCTTCTAAGGACAGAATAAATGCAACATACCAAAGTATAACTGCATGTAAAGTTGTAAAAAAGCAAATTTATTTAAATACGTTCCTGGTTACTAAATACTACCACAAGTTCTGTAATAATGTTAGAATTGCATTTAGTCTATACTATCCATTTGTAAGTATTAACCCAAAAAACTTCTGAAGCAGTACCTAGACATCTCAGGCACTGGTCAGCATCTTATCACTCCAGATGTTATTGGGAACAACACAGATTTTCTAACCAAAAGAATTCTTTAGTTTTCCCACTCAGAGCATACAGGAATAGTCTTTTAAAAGACAATTTTGTTAGACGGACAAAACGCGCAAATATATTAAATACATCTTCTACCAACCCTCATTACCCCATTCTAAGTAGCAACTAGTCAGCTTCTTGAAGAAAGGAAAAACAATGAAAAGATACGCTTTATTGTTTTCATGTGCCTCAGCTTCCCGTAAACAGGCTTCCCTTGCCTGGTCAAACTGCTTGGCATTCTTAAAAGCAACAGCTGCAAGAAATCAAATAAAGTTCTTATTTACAGCTTGCCATTTTCCTTTTTTCATCATTTCTGCTCACGAATTTAGCCACCTAAAGATGCAAATAGATTTTTTAAATGAATGGTTACAGTTTACCAAGCTCTTCCAAAAAATTTGATGACACTTCTCCTTACTTCATTAGTCACTTAGTTACCATGAAAAACATTTATTGTCAGCAACACTTCCATACCATCACTGTACCACACATTGTGCATAATGTGTTTAGCTGGATTTTGTATTTTAATTACATAACTGCAGGAACGCATATGTACATAGTTTTAATCATATGAAATCAGTATGGTAGGAGTAGAAGTGTACCATCAACAAAGCATACCTATAACAACTTCCTCAACAGAACCATTTTAGGGCACAAATATGTATTTCTATTTCCATTAGACTGATAGGATATTAAAGCAGGATTTAAAATAAATTTCAATTTATAAATGCTCCAGTTGCTCTTCCAAGTTTGTATTTTTTTTATTCAGGCTTAAATAAATAAGTAGGAATGCCTAGAGCAAAAAGCTAAAAAAATATGATAAATTACTATTATCAAAAAGAAGAAAATTGTTTAAGAGCAAAAAGGAATGAACTAGTAAGAATTTTACATTCACTGCGATATTTACAGTGGAAAGAAAGGAGGAAAAAGCCTAAAAAAAACCTGGCAGCATCTCTCTACTTGAGAGTCTCTACTGAGACAGTCTTTGTCAGGACATACTTCATAAGATGAAGAAAAAGCAAAGTTTTACAACCAGCTTGAATATTTGTTGTTTTGTAGGTAGAGTTATAGGATTTGGGGGCGGACAACTGAAAGAAGGAAAGCTTTATTTTTATCACATGTAGCAATATATGAAGTAGAAGTTGTAAGCTTATGTCCTGGTTTCAGCTGGGATAGAGTTAATTTTCTTCCTAGCAGCTGGTATAGTGCTGTTTTGGATTCAGGATGAGAATAATGTTGATAACACACTGATATTTTAGTTGTTGCCAAGCAGTCAAGGACTTCTCAGCTTCTCTTACTGCCCTGCCAACAAGAAGGCAGGAGTGCTCAAGAAGCTGGGAGGGAACACAGCCAGGACAGCTGACCCAAACTGGGCAAAGGGATATTCAATATGATATGATGTCATGCTACCTATATAACTCGGGGGCTGGCCAGGAGGCAGGGCAGCTCAGGAACTATCTGAGCATTGGCTTTGATTGGCAAGCAATTGTGCTGTGCATCACTTATTTTGGATATTCTTTTATCATTATTATTCTCTTCCTCTTCTTTCCTATTAAACTGTCTTTATCTCAACCCACGAGTTTTACCTTTTTCTCTTTGATTTTCTCTCCCATCCCATTGGGAGGGGAGTGAGTAAACAGCTGTGTGGTTGCTTTATCTCCCTGTCTGGTTAAACCACGACAGCTTGAAAAAATAAAAAAAAAAAAAGTTTTGACAACCGATCTAGATGTCCAAGTACAATCTGAAATTTATTTTACAGTGCTAGTAAAAGTATTTTTTTGCTTGTTTCATCTTACTTTGTCTTCACAAGAGTTTTACTTACACATCAATGTACTGAAAATACATAAAATGTTAACAAGGATTAAGCTTAAAGAATACTTTGAAACCATAAAGTATACAGCGGTATTTACAGCCATACATACCTGCCTTCCCATATTCGGTAGCTGCACTGTCATAATCTGGTTTCCACTTTAAGAATCCAGTTTTCAAGCTGAAATGCAAGAAGAAAGGACTGTTAACAATTAGTAAAGATTTCATGTTTTACCTTCAAAGCACTTCAGATATATTTAAAACTTTAGACTACCTCTGAAAAGGAGCAATTACCTATATGCCAATACTATGGTGGCATCACTAATGTAAAAAAAAATGCTGATGTTGTTAGGAATTGCGTAAGTACTGCGATGATCTCCCATAGTTAAATGCCTCACCCTAACATGCTTCTACTGTCCCCAGAGAGTCTTCACAAGTCCAGGTCCTCAATGGTAAGAGGTCAACAGAAGAAAAATACTTCCACCTACACCATGATATTTCAAGATTTCTAATACCACAACACCTGACAATACTTTTTGTTACACAAAGTTTCCAGTGTTCCTCTACAGTAATTTTTGCTGCTGAAAATTGTCAAAGACTCTCCACTGCATACATGAATGAAATAATTTACTTACCAACACAAAGCCTCATGTCATTTATATGTCTACAATAGCTCATGACACAAAATGCTGCCACGTGCACACACAGACATATATATGGAAAAACATATATTTGCAAAATGAGGTGAGTCATCAAGCAATGTTGATTTCAATATTATGACCTCACTTCTGAAACAAATATAAAAATTACCATAACTTTAGAGTCCACTTCCATATTTATTGTGGGCAGACACTTCAGATGCAACACATGCTTAATTTGGAAAGATAGTTGTATATAGACTCTATGTTGGTTTTGTTGTCTTACTTGGATGAAAGCCAGAGCATGTAATGCTAAAGCAAGCCTTTATATTGTATTATTTTTATCACAGGCACAGTCTCAAATACATCGAGCCAAAATATACAATGCTTTAATCTGCATGCAATTTGAGATTTAGGCACCTTTTTTTTTTTTTTCAAATGCTTTCCAGGATAAGCTTAAAATGAATTCCACTGAAAGGCATTTTTGGTAAAGTAATTTGAATAAAATACTCTGGTACAGATTTTTTTATTTTGACCAGTCTGTCCTCTACCACAGTTTGTACCTTTGATCCATGATTTCCAGATGGCCCGTCATCATTTTTACTAAAATTATAGCATCTTTGGATTGGTCAGCTCTGTTACATCTATACTGTAGTCTGTGAAATTGAAACTTATAAGCAAAATGGCTATATTCAGTGTCAAAATACACATTAAAAGACTATCACATGTGGATGTTAAGCTTTCTAAGCTAAATGTCAGCACAGGTCTTTGAGGCCATCTGAAAAGAAACAATCACACATTTCTCATAGGCAGGAAACAAACACACACACCATCTCAGCAAGGTTAAGCTCTTTTATTCACCACAATCCCTACAACTCTTTTCTCCTGCTTGTCTTTCTCCTACTAACTGTAGCAGAAGAGCAAAAGTGACTCCCTTGGCGTTCCAGTTCGGGTGACAGCAATAACGGCTACATGGCCCTTAAGGGAACTGCTCAGGCTCCAGGCCTCTGAGCCCTACGGCCTCACCGACACTTTTTAGTTTTAGGGCCGCTTTACTGTCCCGGCTCGGGGAAGAAGGGTGCCCTTCACCAGCACCCCCG